TCCAAACACCCTAGGAATTGAAGGCCCTGAGGACGAGAGTGAAGTAAGGCGGAAGGAAGGAAGAGAAATCCCCCTTCCAAAACAAAGCTGGTGTAGGTTCCAAGAAACAGCCAAGTAAAATAATCCTTCCAGAAAAGGGTAGAGAAACAAGGGAGGGGAGCCGGAAGGAAGGAGGGGATAATCACTCGTTCCCTCCCAAACTGTAGATAGAACGAATACATACTGGCCAGGTCCTCGCGGGAGAGCTCTTGGGTTCACCTGAGTTTGTTTTATTAACCAAGCTCCTCCCAACCTCTCCTCCTCTCCCCCCTCCCGCCTCTCTCTCCAGCTCTCCTTCCCCCCCTCCCCCCTCACTCCCGACCCTCTCCTACAAATTAAAAGCTACAGTAAAATGAATTTCCACAGCAAAACAGCTGCAGATACTTTACCTCACCCCTGGGTGAAGAGCTGGTCACTTGATGTTCGGGGCGGGGGACAGAATACAGCCAGTACAAAGCTCTGCTCTGTGCCCTTTTCAACTCACTAGTCCCGGACACTCCTAAGTTTCCTGATGCCTCTGAGCTCATTAGACAAAGAACAATGAAACCAGGACTCCATTAAACTGCTGCTGGTTAAACTGGCAGAAAACAAAAGAAATCCGTCAGCAGGGCATGGGCCTCTCTCACATCCCTAGTAGGGTCTCACTCGACTCAACCACCCTTGTTGTGTACATTTTCCTTTCAATTCCAGAAAATTCATTTATATGTAGCCTGTGATGAAACAAGTGATAATTAAGTTCTGAAACAATGAACAGCTCTAAAAGTCCAGGAACTTATAATGCTCTTCTCTTAAACTTTCAGAAGATGTGAAGATACAATCTATTCTTCCTTTCTCCCAATATAAATCACACCATTAAATTAAAAGGGAAGAATTCTTCTACCAAATTACACCTTAATGGCTCTTAACCCATAATTAAAGTATCACTAACAGCAGCTTAAAGCCACGGCCAACCAGGAGTACATTTATTAAGACCTAAGTTTTCAGCACTAAGTAATTATGTAAATAGAACTATCAGCCATCTTGAGAAAAGTCCATGGTCGAACCAGCTCCCTGGTCCCTTGAGGAAACTCTCTGTGACTGGCCTCTACACAGGGCCTCCTCCCCTGCAGTCAGAGCAAAGTTAGCAAAGCGACGTGCCAAAGGAGCGAGGAAAGCTTATTCTGAGGACTCTCCTCGCCTAGAGCCCAGAGCCCTGATTACCGTCTTCCCTGATTATCACAAGAGTTTGGGAACCTAGACCAACAACTGGTTTCAGAGCAAAGAAGAATCCAGGCCAGACTCAGCTGTGCATCGTGATCCAAGATGCTGTCCCTGTGCTGCGGGCTGTGAAGGTCCCTGGGACAGAGCATGGCCCCTAACATCAAGGAGGTGATGATTAATCAAGGAGGCAAGACATCAAATAATTTTGGAGAGGTGGTGCGGTATAGAAGAATCACAGACTAACTGAAACCACTTTGCTCCTCAATTCAATTCTGTCACAAACTTTCTGAATAAACTCGGACAGACAAGTTACCTCTCTCTAGGTCTCAGTTTTCTTGGCAAAAACAAGGCAAATGTATTAGCTATATCTAAGGCCCTGGATAGCTCTGCAATAATTAGATAATTAGAGAACATGAGACAGTATAAAATTAAGTGCTAAATTATACAGCAGCGACCACAGCTGCCGACAGAGAGATTTCATTGATTTCTGAGCTCACCACTTCCTGAGAGCCACGCCAGGCACTGTGCCAGGACTCAGGGATACAGTGACCAAGACAAAGCCCCGCCTTCATGAGGCTTTCGGTCTATTAGTGGCACATTCTCAGGAGTTCAGAGGGGAAAAAATGAAGGCTCCTTTTCAAGTAGATAGAGGCAAAACTGGGATTCAAGTGGGTATAATTTGAACATACAGTAGGAAGGGTGATGAATGATGAACTGGCTAACTGTTGAGAATTTCAGTAATAAACCAGAGATTTTTGAAAAGACACATTAATACCCAAGCAGAGTTCTGCTAATTGGCTTATCACCAATGAAGGTAATTAGTTTCCATAAGTTAGCCAAACGCAGATTCTTCCTGCCCTTTGCCAATCATCTTCTCCTATGGCAACAGGTCCCCACCCCAAATCTATTTGTGGTTCATTTTTTTTCCTTAATTCTCTTTTCAATTATGCTTGTGGATTTCTATGGTGAAAGTCAGGAGCAGACACCAAGCAGAGAGTCCATATCTAAGCCATCTGGAGTCTACCCTAAATGTGGGGTTTTAGGAAGACCTTGTAGGCTATGAGAGAATTGGCTAAAAAAGACCTATTTGTGTATAAGTTCCTAGAGAGGTTGAGGAAAGATGGTGCAGACACATGGTTTACTTTGTGGAGTAGAGCTCTAATACAAGTAAGGAAAACAGTACAACTAACCTAGAGAATAATTAACCGTCAATATCTTACCTTCTTAAGACTAAAAATTCAGAAAACTATTTTGTCCCTTATTTTTAAGAGACGTGAAAGATGCCTGGGCCCTAAGTGAAATCAAACACTGCCCACCAACTGTACATTCCATTTTGCAAATAACTTCCTTGGAATGCTGGTGAGCTGATAGATTTAATACGAATACTCTCAAAGTGCTGGACTTAAAAGGAACAATAACTATTCCAACTTTTCTTACCCCCCCCCAAAAAAAATCCCATCTAAGATTTATGCCCATCTTCTAAACACCCTTTTGAGTTCAGAGCAGATGTGTGCAATGTTTACACTGAGAAAACCACTAGGACATAAACAGCCCACTATAAACAGCACTCAGATTTTGCTGTGCTTTTCTTCATTTCCTGTGTATTTATTTTGGTGTTAAAATAATGTTAACTTTCATAATAAGGAAAACAGCAGGAGCTGTTTAAACCAAACAGACTACAGCACATCATCCCACACATCTACTCAACTTCCAGAATCAAAGTTTCTTCCTCCCAATTAAGGAGGGAGCCTAGAAGACCACTCTCGTGTATGCTACCTACTAAACAACAGATCAACCTGGACAAGCCTTCCGTGAGCTTTTCCTCACCACCTGCAGACATAAAACATTAACGTGGTATCAATTTCCTAATAATCCCTATATTCCTCTCTCAGGCTGATGATTATGCTTTGTTTTATTCTGAAAATACCTTATTACTCAATGACAAAGACAATCCAACAGAAAGTGCCTTAAAAGTGTTCAGTTTCTTGTTCACTGAAAAAACATTCTTTTAAACTAACTGCAATGTTAATCTCACAGGAAACACGCCTGGCGGCTTGCTGCTTAGACCGCTCTAAAACGGACTTGAGGACACGGGGGGGAGGGGGGGCGGGAAGGGGAAGCTGGGATGAAGTGAGAGAGTAGCACTGACGTACATACACTACCAAATGTAAAATAGATAGTAGCTAGTGGGAAGCAGCTGCGCAGCACAGGGAGATCAGTTCAGTGCTTTATGATGCTTAGAGGGGTGGGAATAGGGAAGGTGGAGGGAGGCTCCAGAGGCAGGGGATACAGGAGTATATGGATACATGTAGCTGATTCACTTCGTTGTACAGCAGAAACTAACACAACATTGTAAAGCAATTATACTCCAATAAAGATGTAAAAAAAAAAAAGTCTGCCTTTTGAATGAGTGACTTTAGAAACAGGATGATACCTAAAGCAGCAGATTCAAAGAAAGCAATTCACCAAAATTCGCATTCCTGGAACAAGTAGGATTAAAAAAAAAAAAAAAAGACTACTTTAAATATGAGATTCTCATCCACAAAGTTAAATAAAACCAAGAATGAGATTTTTCCTTGAAGGGGAAAGGGTAAGTTTTTGACTGCTTGGGCAACAGGGCTAAAGTTTCTACACGAAAAATACAAGTGGATCGGCTCACCCTCCCAAGTTTCTTCCATGTTTTCTCTTTCTAGAGCAATGTTCAGTTCACTATAGGCAGAGACATGGAAACTTCTCCTGCTGAATCAGAAGGGAGATGTCTCCTTGATTTGTATGTGGTTAAACAAAAAACACTTCCCCTGCCAAGCTGAATTCCCCCGGAGATGTGTCTCCGGCTACTCAGACTCAGACCATTACCACTTTTTCAAATCGCACGTAGATAATGTTGGATTAAGAAACTCCCTTTTCTCTTCTTACTACTAATAGAGACAGCTTGAAGTACTACAGGGCAGTGGGGAAATACCTCATGGTTTAGTAGGAGGTAATAAGTGATAAGATTTCAGAGTTGTTTTTTTGTTTTTGTTTTTTAATTTAGCTTTCTGGTTGGTGGGTTATGCAATCACTTCCACAAGGGACAGGAGTGTGGAGGGAACATCCTTCAATGTCAGAACTCTCCCAGAGCTGTACAGGAAACGGGAAATCAGACAAAGGGCCAGTCTGTGCTCTGTGACATGGGTGCCCTTCCAGGCCCCCAAACTGAATAGAAAAATTCTTCATTGTTTGGGACAATCGCTCTTGAACACAAAAACGCACTGTAACTTTCTGTTCCCCTCTACGTGAAAATCCAAAGTTCTTGCTGGCTGTTGGACTACAACAGGAATACTGTATGTAGATAGTGTAAGTATGAAAGCAAAAAAAAAAAAAAGAGAGAGAGAGAAAACCTGGCATGTTTAACTTTTTACTTGGGTCCAGAAGTTCCTCCTCTAAAGAAAACACCAACAGAAATCAAAAAAGAAATACAATTTAAAAGAGTTTAAAATGTGAGGAGTTAGTATGTTGCAAGCATAAAGCAAACTTTTAACAATGTATATTTTCCCACCTCCCCGCCCCCGCCCCGCCCCCACCTCCACTGTAACCCCTGAAGGCTAAGATACAAACAACAAACTTTGTCCGGAAAACAGTACCTAAGAACCGCTTGCTTTTCAAAGCATCCTAAAGTCTCAAGAAAGAGAACAAAATGCACAGAAGGCAATGAGAACCGGAAAGGAGGAGTGGCCTTGACCCAAGCAATAGGGTAGCAGTTTCTAGAAGGGAACATCTACCTTCATAGCACAGAATCCCGATGTTGTTGTTCATCTTGTCCAAGTACTGGTAGTTCAACAGGTCCATCTTCATAAATAGCATTTATTGGGCTAGCACAGAAAACCAGCTCTTTGCTTTCGCCCCGAAAAAGTACGTTTCCAAAATCAACTAGTGCTGAGCAGCTCCTGGCTCTTCTCTTAAACTTCACAAAGACGGAGGCCCAGCCTCGGATCAAAACAAAGTAAAAGTGAAAAAAAAAAAAAAAAAAAAAACGCACACAAAATCGAACTTGCAGAAAACCCTTCAAGGGTTCGTGGGCAGACGGTATACGTCCTGGATCCTCAATGGAGCATTTAAAAATCGTTTCAGAAGTCTTTACGGGTCTTTCTTCGACGTAAGAAAGGAGCAAGGAAGGAAAACCCGAAGCCCATTTCCTAGGACAAAGCCGCGCTCGCGCCGCTCACAGCCCGCTGCGAGTTCACTGCGCTGACACGCCGACTATGCCTGGAATGACTCGTATGTGGACGAGCTTCCTCTTCCCAGCGGGAGGGAGCGCGGAGCATGCTCACTGAATCCCCGGGGCTCTTCACATGTCAGGGATGTTTTCTGCACAAGATCAGGCTCTAAATGTACTAAGTGTTTGAAAGAAAGAGAAGGAGGAGGTGGAGAGTCTGCAGGAGGGGCCGGGGCAGAGCCGCTCTTGACAGGAAGCAGCCCTGCCGCTGCAAAACCGGAGGAGGGAAGAGAAAACCCAGGAAGTCGCTTTTTCAGGAGCTGAGTACAAAGTCAAAAATCCATCATGGAAGCAAACTTCCATGGAATTTAACTCTGGTGTAGCTTCACTTTTGGGTTTCAGAAACCCAAAATGCTTTGCTGTGGTACATATACCACATATTTCTTTTCTTTCCTTCCTTCTCTTTTAAAAGTCGTTTTACAAGGTCCATTTACACTTTAACTGTATATTTAAAATTTCAATGTCATGTTACATATAACTTCTCTCATAATTCTCATAACAACTCACATAAACAGGTCAGGGATGGTATCACCTTTTTACAGCAGCGGAAACTGGGGCTCAGAGGGATTAAATAATGGTATATGGCTCCCAAAATAGTTGGCAGAACTACTTTTAGAGTGTGTTATTCCCTTAAAACCTTCTAAAAAATAAGGAGGGGACGAGGGAGAGAGAAAGATAAGGAGAAACAGGAAGAGAGGAAGAGAAAGAGAGAGAGTTTAAGGAAGTAAGACTACACATATCCCAAACACAAAGCCTACCTGACACGATGGGTGGGAGGGATAAAATTATTTTCATTTTGCACATAGGAAAGCTGTTCCATCTGTGTTTTAGAGGCTAACAGAATAGCATGCCACCACATCACGTCTTATTGTAAGGACTTGGGCCTTAAACTTCACATCTCCAATATCCAGCACAAGTGGTGCCCAAAAGCTATTTACTGAGTCAGTAAATCACTGAAAGTTCAGAATCCTCAGCGCATGAAGAACACACTAGCAAAATAAAGGGAAGAAAATAGTTTTCTCTTTGGAGATGGCACCTAGCTTTTGGCACCATGAATAGACTAGTGATTCACCACAGGAGGTGTTTCTATGCTAATACTAGTGTATGAGATTTGGAGATTTAGAAAATACCAAGGGGTGTGCTATACTGTAGACCAAGACTTGACATTGTAATACTCTAAAATAAGAGCTGGATAAATAATTTCAAGGGCTTATGTGTTAAAAGATCAGCAGTTGCACTTTGGGTAACAGGCATGTTCACGACAAGTTGTTCTAATGGAATCCTATTTGGAGAGAAATACAACACCCGATACTGCTGCCGTCCCTGCTGCAATAGTAGTAACTGTCATAGCAGCAGGTGAAGGAGGCAACAGAAAAATCGAGATTTCACAAGCTTTAATTTACAAGGCTATTTATTAATGCTAGATTACATATTCTAGAATCTGAATAAGCTATACTGAACGGTATGTACACCATCAATTGTAATTAAAATACTTGATGGTACTTGACGGGGAGGGTCAGAAGAAAACTCTTACAGCATCTAATATATATTATTGTGCTTAATCTTAATATCTTTAGGTACAGATTCAAGTTCAACTGATAGTTTTGGTTCAAATTCAATTACCCAGCTGGTTGTGGAGAACAATTACTGTGCTACATTCTTTGACGTAAGTTCTCAATCAGAAAACGTTATGAGTCATTAGCACACCCCATACGGGAGAAGCTAGCTGCACCTTGGAATCAGTGTGGAGTTTTTAAAAATCCTGAGGCTGTGGGTGCACCCCAAAATAATCTGAGCGGGTGGGGCCCAGTGTTGGGATCGATTTTAAAGAGTCCCAGGCGATTCTAACATGCGCCCAAGATTGAGAACCACCGCTTTTATCTCAGAGGGAAAAAAATCACCTGCCTTCAGATACTTCATTTTACACAACTTATTTCGAGAAGGAAAGTTTTCTTTTTAAAGTTCAGTGATTTAACCAGATCCAAACAATCCAGTGGTAACGATATGAGTAAAATATTTAGTAACTTCCCTTTAATGACTCAGTGTCACTTACAATGTAGTTTTCACTCTCCAAGAGGCAACCACCCATGTGGACACAGGCCCACAGGTACACCTTGACCTGTGTTTGCAATGAGCAGAGGGAAAATAAAATCCCCAGCCACCACCGCGTGTTTCCCACTAATCTGGACGCTACTGTGGTCCTACTTAGAGCTACAGACGAGGAGAGTGGACAGGTAGAAACTTTGACAGCAATTTGACATAGTCATCTTAGGTCCTGTAAATCTTCCAGGCAGACAGTCTGAGAAGCCCCGCCCTGAAGGGTGGCGGCCACACCTGCCAACTCCGCAGGGCAGCCAGTCCCTGCGGCTGGACCTATCCTATCACAGCTCCTCACATTGTCCACCTTCCGCTTCAAGCAGTGAACTACCTACAGTTACTCTCGAAAACCAAATTATTTCATGTCTCAGTGCACACGCTCCCTCTTTGTGCAAGACTTTTCCAGCCTCTCTCCCAGCAAACACCCATTCTTCCTTCAGGACTTGGCACACGTCTCCTTTGTCCTGTGGGACCCCCGTCCCTCTGAGTCCTCACTCCCAGGCCTGTACCATCATTTGCCCACCAACGTGCTTCCAGCCTATGCACGTCCAGGCTTTAGGAGCAAGGGCTATGCCTTCTGTACCTCTGCAGGGTTGGTCTGGCAGGAGCCTGACACACGGTAGGCCATCAATAAATTCCTGTTGAATCGAATCTCTAAGATGAAAACACCTCAAAGGTAGACTCTCCATCTCCCCCTCCCTACTCCCAGCACATACCAGATTATCTAACTCAATGTTTCTCCAACTGGATTCTGTCAGAATCTTCTGGGGACACAAGTCCTCACATCTGAGGAAAACTCATGCAGATTCTGATCAGGCTTCAGGTTATGGTCAACATATCCAGCGAAAAACTCCAAGCGCTGGAAAATGTCAGTGCTTCTCAAGTTCATTCACAGACTAACATTGTCATAATTAAACTACCAACAGGATTCTTCTTAAGGAAACTGGAAGGATGGTTCTAAATTTTATCCACCAAAAAAAAAAAAAAAAATCAGGTAGAAAGTTGGGTTTTTTTGGATGAAGAAATTTGATCTATCAGATATTTAAAACATAAAGCTACTGTATAGCATAGGAAACTATACTTGATATTTTGTAATAACCTATATGGGAAAGAACCTGAAGAAGAATCATATATATACATATATATATGTACACATATAACTGAATCACTTTGCTGTACACCTGAAACTAACACAACATTGTAAATCAACTCTACTTCAATAAAATAAAACAAATAAATAAAGCAAAGAACATTTTTGGGGTGGAACTGGAAAGAGAATAAGAAAAATGAAACAGATATTGTCACATAGTAAAAACTTTAAAAACTGTAAGAAAATGTTCAGACTATCTGATTAGGAATAGGGAAACATTTTCCAAGCCTGAAAAAGAATTAAATCAAAGAAAGAAGTCACAGAGGAAACTACTGTAGAATTTGACTGAATATACAAATTTTATGTTTCGTACATCTGAAAACACCAAAACCAAGCAGAGAGGCAAAACACAAAACAGAAGAATATATTTGTGACATATACCATGGTGGATGAAGGATGAATGTTCTTGGTATATAAACACTAAAGAAGAGAAAATAAGAAAAAAATTAATCTAAATTATTTTTAAATGAGCAAAGAACATGAGAAACAAATGGCCAATACAGTTTTAAAAAGCCTATTCGAGGGACTTCCCTGGCGGTCCAGTGGTTAAGACTCCACGCTTCCACTGCAGGGGGCACAAGTTCGAGCCCTGGTCGCAGGGAAGATCCCGCAAGCCACGCAGCATGGCCAAAAATATGAACAAATAAAAGATAAAATAAATACACTTTAAATTTTTTTCTTAAAAACAAGCCTATTCAACCTCATTAAAAATTGAAAAAATACAAATTAAAAACAATTAAGTGATTCTCTACCTGCCAAATTAACAAAAAGAGAAAGCATTTCAATCTTATTTAATGCTGGTGAGCTGCCACTGGAATTTGTGTCACTGCTAGTAAAAGTGTAAGCAGTCCCTGCCTTTCTGCAAAGCAGTCAACATACACATCAAGCTGTCTGTAGTGCTGAAAATGTTCACATCCTTTCCTTGCTCTGGACTCTAGTTCTAGAACTCTGTTTTAAGAAAATAATAAGATTTGGTCAAAGAATTACATAAAGATGCTTATCATGCTTCTATTTATAATAATGAAAATTTGAAAACCTAGAAGTCCAAAAATAAGGGAATGAATGAAAACTGTGGTATATCAATGACAGAATAGTATGCAACCATTATAATTCCTTCTAAAAAATATAATGACAGGGGCTACCCTGGTGGCGCAGTGGTTGAGAGTCCACCTGCCGATGCAGGGGACACGGGTTCGTGCCCCGGTCCGGGAAGATCCCACATGCCACGGAGCGGCTAGGCCCATGAGCCATGGCCGCTGAACCTAAGCGTCCGGAGCCTGTGCTCCGCAATGGGAGAGGCCACAACAGTGAGAGGCCCGCGTACCACAAAAAAAAAAAATATATATATATATATATATATATATATATATGTATAAAATGACAGGAGAAAACGATATACTCAAAACATATGCTAATGGAACTACATATGTTAAGTGAATACAAGCAAATAAAAAATATAAAAATAGTATGTACACTAAACACCAATTTTGCTTATGTATTTATAAGTATACACACATATGCAGAAAGAAATATACACACACATGTACTTAAAAGACTGTACTAGAGAAAACAATAACTCAGAAAGATACATGTACCCCAATGTTCAGTGAAGCACCATTTACAGTAGACAGGACATGGAAGCAACCTAAATGTCCATCAATAGAAGAATGCATAAAGAAGATGTGGTACATACACACAATGGAATATTACTCAGCCATAAAAAGGAACGAAACTGTGCAATTTGCAGAGACGTGGATGGACCTAGAGACTGTCATACAGAGGGAAGTAAGTCAGAGAGAGAAAAACAAATATCGTGTAATACCTCTTATATGTGGAATCTAGAAAAATGATACAGATGAACTTATCTGCAAAGCAGAAATAGAGACACAGACTTAGAGAACGAACATATGGATACCCGGGGGGAAGGGGAAGGTGGGATGAATTGGGAGATTGGGATTGACATATACACACCACCGTGTACAAAACAGATTACTAATGAGAACCTACTGTATAGCACAGGGAACTCTACTCAGTGCTCTGTGGTGACCTAAATGGGAA